CCCACCATTTGTACAATTTTTAATCACCACCACCTAGGGATGCTTCCAGTCAAATATGGTTGATATCCACTTCTTAGTTTCAGAGAAGAAGTCGCTTAAAGCAATATGGGCAAATTGACCCCTTTTGGCCCCGCCCCTCAGCCCCCTGGGGGGTCAGCCCAACCATTTGTACAATTTTGAATCCCCACCACCTAGGGATGCTTCCAGTCAAATTTAGTTTAATTCCAACCAGTGGTTAAGAAGAAGAAGTCGTTTAAAGAAATTGTTGACGTACGGACGGACAGACGGACGACACGGTATGGCATAAGCTCACCTTGGTCCTTCGGACCAGGTGAGCTAAAAAACAAATGTCTGTGTGTATAAACCTTGCTATATGCCTGTTGTCTTATATATCCTGTTTTTGACACGACTCTAAATATAAATTCTTGTACCTTGTCAAAATATCAGTATAATTTAATTACAGGTGAGCAATAAAGACCCGACCAGCCTATATTAAGGAAGCCCCGTTACTTTAACATTATGTTACATATATCCAGATAAACAGTCTAGATAAAAACGCACGTATGTACATTGTAGGTAATGATGTACAGTATAAAGATCGATATTGGGTTATATTTTTAGCCGTTCATGGACACATCTCTTGGGGATTTTTATCTATAAATTTCTCCTGTATTTAAAGTTCCCCCTGCTTCCCTACGTTTTATCAAGATATCCTCTATTTCAAACAAACGCTTGTGACATTTGACCTGTCAGAGAAACATATGACAAAACTGTGACCTTCAAAGTGGGTCAAGGTCAGACTTATTTATATATTAACTGTATAGCAAGCAAGCTACACCACAAGCTTGCTAGCTGATTATCTGTCCCTCAAGGCATCATAAAATCCCATAAAACGTCAACAAAACATCCCCAAATTACTGCATATACAGGCTGTCATTGGGAATACAAGACAGACACAACAAACCGATGTACAGATGATAAGTTTATTCAGTAGTATGCTGTATATACAATGTCTGCCGAAGAATACAAGATGGACTTGCCGGAGAATAGTACATGGTCCCTTCTCCGTACCATCCTGTGTACGGCAAAACATATATGGGCTAATTACATCGACATTTGTACAGGTAAGGGGCTTACTACATAACTATCTATATCGCCTTTTATGACGTCATCAATTAACATATAAACTTTTACCTCAGATTCACATGACCAAACTACATTACACAGTAAGAACAGATGAAAATTTCATGGTAAAACAACAACCACAGCACTACTTGGTGAGAGTTCAAAGTTCACCATAATGTTTGACCTGTTGACTGCCAGTTAGAGGTCATTTCTAAGTACAACAGTATGGTGCTTCTATGTCAATTACATGATCTCTACCGATTACATCACTAACATACACAAACAATGGCAGAGCATTATTCCAGTCCTCTATACATGATGAGCTGTAGTATTGCACACTTAAATTTGGGAAAAGTTATTTCTCCTACGACAGCCTGTTGGCAGGCAAATTTGTTACCATGGCAACCAGGCTGTAATCTGTCAATATGGACCACTTTCAAAAACATTTATCACATATAAGTATACGTTACTATATCATGATGCAAGATACCAATGTATCTGTACAACGTTAACCAACACAAAAGATTCCAGGTGTGATAAACATCCTACAGAACAAGTTTAAGGTTAATTCGTTCATACATCGTGAAATCAACTAAAATATCAAGTTTAGTCAAGATTCTATGCAGAAAAAGCATGGATAAAGAGGCACCAATTTTTGCCTTTGTTGTGAGTCCATGACTTCCTCCTACAAGGTCCTTATGATGGCCCAGTGGGGCGTCAATTGTACACATGTCTAACATCTGTGTCGGTGTAAACCACACAACGGCCTTACCATGTTATAGAGATACCCATCTTATACAGGATCACCACACACGAAGGGAGGACTTTTACCATCCAAGCCAAATCACAGTACTCTTATCACATCTAACATTATCGCCAACCATATAAATAGCACTACTTACACCTTAGCTAATGATGGGACATGGAACAAGTCCACGTCCAGTACATACATCCACACCAAACTTCACCAGCACTTAATCACAACATCTTGGTACTCTATTTCCTATATCCCACCTATGAAGTTTATGTATCATAACAGACAGAAAATCTCACCAAAAAGCCAGTCTACACTAAACTATCTCCACCTGGAACCAAACATCACAATCAAATGGGCAAATTTCCATTTGTAATGCCATACACTGTTGTGGTATCAACAAAAACTTAACAAAAGAGCACACAAATATTTCGTGGTCTTTTTGTCAATTCCAATGTGTGATATGTTGTATGATCACAATCTCGATTAATGCCTCAAATCGTAAATGCTAGAGTTATCTCCCCTGGACAAATATTTGTATTAATTCTCAAAAGAGTACAAGTAGATCATATTATTACATATCAAAACTAGCAGCTTCGCTTTCAGTCTTTACCATTTTTTATTCTGGGCCTGTATTCAAGATATCACTCTCATGCTCCAATCTCGTGATTCTGTGCTCAAGCCAAATTTCTTGTTCCAGCAAATAAATATTTACATTTTGCTAATGATTGGGCAGAAATTTTGAGAAACTTATAATTTAATACCGTTTTCAATGTCCAGTCTTGACTCTTTGACCATGTCATATCATTGATGCAGCTTAGAAGAAAGTTGATTTGAGCAAAGAATCCATTCTTGAGCATGAGAACTGTTTCATGAATATGGACACAGGTCTAGCATCTTTTATGCCCAAAAAGCTTTTCTATTACCGAAAATGTCAATAATACTCAAGACAAGATGAAAGATTACTAAACTATTACATGTTCAAGACAGAATACTGAATGAGATGACTTAGTCTTACCATGTACAAAATTTCACTGGGAAAACAATCACTTGAATAATATTCATCTAGTTATATAGCCATTAGTATTATAATTACCCCTGGTAATACACTTTTATCGGGTTTGAAACAGATTATAAAAAAGACAAACTCAATGGTTATTTGCTGGTCCTCCCCCTAACAGGTGAAATAACCAAGTGAAACACACTACATTTGTAACTATAAACTGACAAAAACTAGTACCATAAATATTCGGGCATATAGTGCACACATTTTTAGGGGAAAAAGATAATATCGAAAAAGGGGTGCACACTATACGCAGGAACAATAAAAAACCAGTCCTGGGTCGCAACCATTTATCGTAAATTTTCCATGGATTTTGAAAATATTTTGAAATACCAGTTAAAAATTATAGTTTTTAAGTCAGAAATACAGGAAAAAATTACCAGTGAGCAGAGGCAGATCCAGGGCTGAAATGGGTAGGGATTGCAAACTGAAAGAGTTTCCAAGGTCAGGATAAAATCAGTCTCTTACTTAAAATATAACAGTGTTTGTCCCATTCTTTATTCAACGCATTAGCGCAATTACAACATCCCAGTATAACAGATACCACACAGTATCACATAACAGATAACACAACATGTCTCATAACAGATACCACAAAATCGTAACAAATACCACACTGTGTGTCTCTTTACAATCTTACACATGAAAAAATTACACGCTAAAGATGAAATTATTAGCGGAATGATGATATACAAATATACAGCAAATAGTCAAATGTTTGTTAAAAACAAATAGTCGGAAGCACAGAGTGTTACATGAAGGGTAGCTACTTTACATTTTGCAAGAAGGAAGAGTCAAGAATATTGACGACACCAACACAAACCTACTAGTTCACTCGACACACAGAACCAAGCTAAGTCCGTTTTTCTTAAGACAAATGTAGCAAAGTTGTAATATTATCATAACCTTATGTCTAAAGTGAGGGCACACATAAGCCTTAGCTCTTTGGTGTTTGAAGTTAAAAAAGTTCACTTACTGACATGATTATTGATATGATGATTTCTCATTCACTTATTTACAGATCATTGAACACCTGTCTTTTCCAAGTTATGCGAGTTACACACAGGGCTGTGGGAGTCCTCGATAGTAATGTGTGTTACACAGTCTCAAGATTTTGTGAAGCTTTGTGGGTTATGCACAGTTTAAGCTTAAGCAGTCACTATATAGTAACAAGATATGAACCCTTGCACTTGGGAAAAGAAATTTTAAACTTTGTAGGTAGACAATCTTGGTAAAAATGTTTTCATTTAGCATCACAACCCTTGACATCTATCAACATGATATTTAATCATTGTGTAACAACATACAAATGTCCTACCTCCTCCTGACTCTGAACCCTAGTTAAACATCTCTATCCTTTATACACTGATAAATACAAATAGAAAATAAATGAGAAAATAGAACCTTAATATTGTTTTTCATCATTTATATAACTTCACAAGATAGAATTTTGAATCATGAACATTTAAAGTTTGAAGACAAAAAAATTTCTTCAGTACACAGAATTTCTTGATTCATGACTTGAGTGTTTAGAATATTCACTGGCAGGTTCAGGTTATTTGACCCACAACATAAGCATTAAACTTGAACAGAGTAAGAATGATAATGTTTAGGAAGACACAGAATTACACAAGGGCAGATAACTCCTGACTAAGTATCTGTTAGGACGTGCAGGCAACTCTTGGACAGATCTGGAGTCTACAGAAAAAGGTGTTGTTAGTCAAGGCATGATCTGGTAGAATACTAGTGAGTAGTAGATATCCAAGACAGTATTTCAAATGTTAACCTTGTTTCCATATCACATGACTTCTTAGTGACGGGCAGATCAGAGTAATGTTCAGTTCCAAAAAAATCTGAAATGTAGCGGAACATTTTTTTTATTTACCAGAGTGGTGTGCACCATGGTCTCTATAAATCAGGGTCAGCAAAACGTTTTCTACAAATATGCCAGCATACTTTCAGTGACAAACTGGTGAAGAGGGTAGGGAATACAGGAAGGAAGTACTGAGGTGTGGCCATGTGAGTATTGACAATGACATTACATCACTAAGATAGACACACATGGACAGACAACATACACAAGGCTTAACGATGGATTATACATCTGTCCCATACATTATCACCCAGCCAGCCAATTTAAAGTCTCAGGCCAACACTTTTCTCCTGTATACATATAGAGAAGAATGTACATTTAGCTTTATAAAACACCCTCTCACAATTATATCTAGTTTCACTCATTTCACACAACAGTGAAGTGAGATATTACGGTTCCATCTGAACAATCCCTGGCCACAATTTCTGCAGTCCTTGAAACTGATGTTTGTTTTTCCTGTGAAGCAAGAGTTGCTCTGCTTCCCATAGTATGTCCAAACTTAAAATTGCTTGTCGAAAAGATCACATAAAATGTTAGCTATGCCATCCTTGTTTGTCCTTATCGTCAGTCGATACATCTGCAAAGAGAAATGTATTGTAAGGAAATATATATTTATTTAGGTTTCCCAACAACAATATTGACCCCAGCTGATAAAATTAAGGAGTAAGCTTAACTGGCTATGTAAAATAGAAGCAAGTCAAATTTGTGTGAGCTTTTCTAATTCATCAAATATTAACCTGTTCACTAATTAACCAAAGTTGCTTGGGACAATTTTTTGTCCCACTAACCAGCCAGTGTTTTGGGAGACTGATTGTCCCACAAATAAACAGCCAGTGGTTTTCCCCCCTCTCTATTCAACAGTTCCAGTTATCCACCTGTCTTACTATGCAGCCACTTTTGCTTGATAGAGATGGAGTGATTATTGAGGTTCCAGTTTATCACATAAAAATAAATAAATGTCAATTTACTCTTTTATCATAAAAATTTAGTGATAGTGAAAATGACACAAATTATATTCTACTGTTCTTTACATTTTTTTTTGTCACTGGTTTGGTTCTAGCCTAAGTTGGCCACCCCTCTGTTATTTGACAGTTTCCATACTCGTCTTTTTTCCAACAGACTACTCACCTGTGCTTCTTTGTTTGGTTCCAGCCTCAGCAGGCAGCCAATTTGTGCTGATCTTGAGTGCAGCACTCCAGCTGACACGAAGTTATCTGGGTTAGGGTCAATATTTTCACATACACTAAATCCTCCGCCTAATAACTGGAAAACAAACCAACATTTCCAGAGTTAAAGCCAATCACACATAGCTAGACTCGAAACTATCTGGTGCTGCACAGAATCATACATCAAGTTTAAAGCCACTCAATTTTGCAAGTTCAGACATTTGTGGTTTCTTGAATTTTACAGGGTTGAATTTTACTAAACACTATTTATAGGCAAAACTTTATCAGAAGGGCAATCTCTTTTTTTCCAGCCCATGAATTTAGGTTAACAACACAATATACCACATGTATGATACATTTGCATGTCACAGCTACAGAAAAGCTGATTATCTTAATGTTTGACCGAGGGAGATTTACTCACCTTTGCTTTAATTTGTTCTGTGTCCATTGCGAAACTACCCTTAAATATTCTCTGGCATTCTTGGTTTGGACTGAAATAAAAGCATGATACAAGATGACAAACATTTATCCATTAAATTCATAATAAACTGTCTAGGAGTAATGATATTCACACTACGGTATGATTTGACACCTAAAAGGCTACTTTTCTGGGGGTTTTGTGATTTCTACCTCTAATGAAATGGAAACCATAAGTCTGAATACCAGGTCTTTATTATTATTGTTAAATAGGTATATATACATATAAAAGAGTGACATAAATACAATCAGTAAGAAAAGAAAGTCTTATTATACAGCTATTCCCCTATTGGGCCTCTGATAATTACACTCTTCATTCATATAATGTCCAGATGCTTGGCCATGGGATCCTTTATATAAATACAGAAGTAGGTTTGAATTCCTTTACCCATACTGAACTAATAGTACCCAGATCTCTCCCATTAGGGCCCACATTTAAAAGTAAAGTAAATACATGTACTAGCAGTTACAAACGCTTGATATACACTTGAGAAGAAAACATACTTTTTATCTTTTATGTTTTTTAACTCAGCTTGCTTTCCTTATTTTAGATAAAAAAAATCAAAGAACATTTTCCTAAAGACATGTACAGCTACACAGGTACTTTCTGACATACAGAAGAGGTCCAATGATTAGAATGAGCTGCCTTATATCCTCCCAGAAAATGCTTCAACATAGCTACATACTTGTTCAGTGCCTTCCATCGTGTGAAAAATGTTGTCGAGTCCATTTCTGCTGCGTCTATAAATTTGTTTAACATCACTGGTAGCTTCAGGTTTATCCTCTGTGTAGCCCCACTATATCTGTAAACAATCAGGGCATCACACTTCTGTAGATTGGATATTTTAAAGGTTAAACTTGTACACTATTTTTCCCCATTGTCTCGGCAGACAATTTTTTCCTTTTAAAATATACCACTCCAAAATTGGTTTTTAAATTAACAAGAGGCTCATGGATTTTAACAGCCCACCTGTTTGGTTTTTGTGTATCTGATTTAAGAACAACTGAACTTAACAAGCTGAGAACATGCTAAATGCTTTATAATACAACTGCAATAAAGTAATATTAATATTCTTTTTTTCTGTAATTTCTTAGGCAGATAAAATAAAATTGTCAACCTGTTTTTCATAGAAAGTTGTCTTATAAACTACAAAACTAATTAAAGATGACAATATTTCTAAAAATTTCAGGCTATGGAGTCCGACAATTACAATAACAACAGTTGTCATAGCATGTAAGTTGTCATCGTCTCATTGTACTACTGACAAGGTCCTTATGGCATCTCATTGGTAACCAGAAAGCAAGCCTACATTTGCAATTCAATTTGATTGAGTTGCACTGTCAACTGCAGGTCTAGAGACTGGGCCTAGCCCAGCAAGCTTGTACAAGTGGCAGTCTACTGTACTGCTGTAACAACTCCGCAAACATCACAACAGAATGATTCAAGTCTCCTTTGGTATTGTTGTATATATAACACGGCATCATAAGTGATACACAAATCCTCTCGCATTCACATGGTGTGACATTTGTATGAGGAAAACACTTATATAAAGTTTCATGAAATTCCATTCAGTAATGAGGTCACTCACGAGAGCGATGACAAAGTGTGTAAAAAACGTACTAATTGGCTGAATCCTATTTCCCCTTGAACATTACTTGTGTGGGGATAATAATTATTAGACAAAATGTACACCTTATATGGACAATATCATCAATCAGAAAGCAACAAAAAGAACCGAATGATTCCTATGTCTTTCCCAGTTTATTGACTTACAGGAATGATATCTGAAGTGTTGGGGCTTCAGTGAACTCCGATATGATCTCTATATTGATAACCTGCTGGACTTGTGCTCCACTGTCCACCACTGTGCCCACCGGCTTCTGTTGACATGTTATCTGTACCCCAGTCAAGGATCACACAGTTCATAACATAATGACAGCAAATCATCTAGTAGGTAGACATAGACAGGTAGTATTTTAACAATTTTAACAATTTTAACATAGAGCATGCAAGTTTATGTTAAAAATCATCATAATAATTTCAGGGTCTTCAATATCTATGAAAAGAAAAATAGAGGGAAACAGACTACAGGCAAGAAAAGTGATCATATTAGATTTCATCATACAAGTAACGGGATCCGATAACACAATTGTTTTCATTCAAGAAAAGGAATCATACAAAATTTTATCATACAAGTAATAGGATCATGCAAAATGGTATCAAACAAGGAATGGGATCATCTTGTTATTCCCTTCCATCCCAAAAATCAAACATACAGTTACAGACCAAATGGAACCTATACATAATAAACATCTGTCTTTAAAAGGATATTGGTTTGAAGATCCTCCGACACGTGAGTGTCTACTTGAAAGCCGGTAAATTGGAATGAGGTTTTGTTGCCATAGAAAATTCCTAGACGTCCAAGGTTGGCCCTGAACTCTGTCTTTACCCCTATTTGTAGAAGATCATTCTCAAACAGCACTCCATTGTTCTTACAAATAAATCTGCAAAGAAAATCACAGGAATAAATGTAAAATAATCTCCAATATACAAACCAAATTCTGAAAAAAATAATCATCGTTCTTTATACACAATTACTTACAACAACCATGACTTGCTTGAATAATGTGTGTTTCACTTGGCATTCAAATTTGTCTGCCACTCAGAAGTGATTGCCTCAACAAGATTTAAAATTAACATTTGACCATGACTTTTATGAATAAACTTACTTCTGATAACCCTCCTCTGCCCCTGGTGTTAGGTTGCCTGAGGAATCTGTGCCGTTGCTGGTCACTCCACCAAACACATCCACTAACAAACTGCCAATCCCCCCATCGCCACCTCCACCAGAGGGCGCTGTGGGTGTTCCTAGGCCGAGCAGATCAACTGACCCTGAACTACTTGGTGGGGATATTGGCACCGATAACTGGAAACAAAGAAAAAAAAAGTGATAATTTTTTATGGACAGCAACAATGCATGGATCAATCTAAATGGCAACACAGTGAGTTCCACAAAGGGAGGTACTTTGTTTAGATTTATTGTCCTCGCAACAGCAAGGGTCATCATATGAGGATGGCACAAGGAAGATTCAGTTTGACTCAAGGGAGGTAACTATGCGACGGAATCTCATAATTGGAATAAAAAGATGAGTACCAGTAAAATAAATGTGGACTCAAGTCATAATAAATATTACTGAAATGAAATATGTAAACCCAGTATATACATGGATTTTGTCACATACAGCCAATTGATTAATTGTGATAAATCAATATTCATGTATGGCAAAAATTTACATTTCAAAGGTGTTTAATAACTGCTTCACTGGCTAGAAATAATTTCCTGGAATGGTTAAGGCCTACAATGTTAGCAGTGGCTATGAAATGATTAACTGTCCAATTATCATAGAGATGAAATTGTTGACAGACCTTTATATAACTAATTTACAACTAAACAAGACAAAATGTCACAACAGAACAGTTTGTGTGGCTATTAGCCTATAAGATAGGAGACAGCTCCCACTTTTATCACAATGTTGTTCCATAGAAGACCTCTGACTTGCCACTTACAGCAGGTGTACATTAGTAAAGGTGGCCTTTAACACGGGTCACACTGATTTTATTTTTACCAGAATCACGTTTTGGTCAATACCGGTATACATTTTCCTGGAGTCAATTAATGCATGGCAATGCTATACTGAGGCTCACCGGAATTGGATTATCTAGTGGAGCAGCAGCTGGTGTGTCCAGGCTATTGCTCATGTGGGCCTGAGGGATCTTGTGTTCCTTTGGTTCTGTCCCCTCAGGTACTCCAGAGGGCTTCTTCTTCTTCAGCTTGGCAAGAATGGAGGAGTCTCGCTCTGGGAATGGCGGCATTTCCTCCAAAACGGTGGCCTAAAATCAATAATGATAAAATTATAATAAAATTATCTCCACTCAGAGCAACAACTGCTTTTTTATTATGACAACAATTAAGTATGTTTATTGAAAATTAATGGTTTAAATTAATGATGTACACTTACCAAGACATCAGTAGAGGCCACTGTGCTTAGCTGTAAGTATTCCACAGCCCTCTGCTGAAGTTCTACCTCCGAGTTTCGCAAGTTGTTGTTGGTGCGCAGAACCTGAAAATGTGAGGCCGATTTCAAGCATTTTTCAATATAGCGTTCAAAACTTTAAATGATATTTGAACCGAAACTTATTTTTACCAAAACTTTTAATTTTGTGTTTTGTTATTACTTTTAATGTTACATTTTGCTTTACATCAAATTTTCCTTTGACAAATACATGATATCAAAAGGAAAATGCTGTATTTGTATCTAACTATTCATCATCACTAACAGCTGTACGCTTAACACAGCTAGTTAATTCAGGATTAAGATAGTGGAGATTTTACGTGAGTACTACTTACATCTTGTATGCTGTTCTTAATCTCTGGAAATAGGTTGACAAACTTGATGTATGTTGAGAGTAGGAGACCTCGTGTACCTGGCCCACACAAGTGGTATTTAGAGTGTAAAAGCTGGAACTGCACAATGGGACTGTAATGAAGAAATCACAGGTGTGTCAACAGGTATAAAACATGACTAAAACAAGTGACAATACAGTAGATTTCACTCAATCAACCAACAGATAAATGTATTATTTGGCTGGATAAATAATTACCTGCACGGTGGTGGTACATACCTAGATCTGGAATCTCCAGCGATTAAGTTACCAAATTCTCCTAAGATGTAACCCCCAACCTTCACCATATTTTCATGGCAGGCTGGTGCTTGTAATGCCTGAAATATATAATGAGTACATACACTTTCTTTAAATGTGATCAATGTTGAAATCTGTCTTTAAACTTGTAAATGCGAGAAAAAACTAGAAAATGTCTGTAAGACATAAATGCCCCCGCTGCCATGTGAAATTCGTTTCAGTGTTCTATAAAAAGTTACAACCACTTTGATCTTGTTACCCTGAAACATGCACACACCCAAGGTACTACACTTAAAGTTGATTTTAATATTCATATGGTTTTTTTTCTGTATGTTATTACCATCTCCGTTAAATATTGAATGAAGTTGCTAAGTGTTTAAATTGAATCAGTAGATGATTTTCTATATATAGCAAGTGTGACCTTGGCCTTGACCTTTGATCCCTGAAATACAACGATGTGCAAGGTATACCCATACTTGACCTTTGTATAAAGCTTGACCAAAATCTGTCATATAAAGAAGTTGCTAAGTGTTTACATTCAATCGGGACTGGACAATTTTCTATATATAGCAAGTGTGACATTGGCCTTGACCTTGGATCCCTGAAATACAACGCTGTCCAAAGTATACCCATACTTGACCTTTGTATAAAGTTTGACCAAAATCTGTCATATAATGAAGTTGCTAAGTGTTTACATTGAATCGGGACGGGACAATTTTCTATATATAGCAAGTGTGACCTTGGCCTTGACCTTGGATCCCTGAAATACAACGATGTCCGAAGTATACTCATACTTCACCTTTGAGTAAAGTTTGGCCAAAATCTGTCAAAGAATGAAGTTGCTAAGTGTTTACATTGAACTGGGATGGGACAGGACACGACATAACAGACATGGGTAACACTATATGCCCCCCATTTTATGGCGGGGGCATAAAAATGACAACAGAATAAATACAAGTCCTGATGACAGGAATAGCTATTTATGTGTATAAATAATATGTTATCAATACTGTTTTAAATATCTTAAACTTGACTCCTGAACCAGCGACCAAGTGGTGGAGGTCTAGTGATTGTAGACGGTCAGACGTCTTGAGCACTCAGCCCCCCCCCCCCCCCCCCCCCCCCCCCCCTCCCCCCCCTTCTCATAAATGAAAGTTTCATGCATATGAACTTTGATGTAAAAATGTCCAGGAATGAAGCTTATGGGATGATAAAAAAGTAAATACGTGCACACATTTTGAATAATGTAACCCCCTTCAACCTTATTTACCAGAAGACAATTAACTACTTACCTCAAAAACTGTTTTAGCTGCATACCCCTGTACATCATCTCTGTTGATCACAATCTGTATAACTCTGTACCACACCTGTAACGCAACAAACTTAATGTACAGGTTTAGGTCTAAGTCTACATCATCCTTAGCCTGTTAATAATATATCTTCTACAGACATATAACCAGGGTGTATAGGGTACTAACCTGAGGCCCCGGTTTTCAGATTTTATATCAGTGGCTGTGCAAATGAAAATTGTCAAATATTTACAATGAAAATACAGAACAAGCCAATAGAATTCTTCAAATCAAAATCAGCCTGTGGGCTAGTATTCTTTGTAGGAAAGTACACACTTCCGTCAAGTATGAAAATATTTTCTCTCTCATATCTAGCCTTTGTAATTTAGAAAGATATCTGTATGTTGTGAAAAATTTAAATTTTCCAGCCAGCTTCTATGTTTGAGAGAAAACCAGTCTTTCATGTCCGTGAGTGCATGATAGGGAAATCTAACTTTCAGGATTTTCAAATTAGGACAAAATCTTTAGCAAGCCTCCGGTTTTAGCCAATATGAAACCTGGTATAATTTCCCTATTATCTGATAACCTTGAACATGAAGGAGTCCTCTATTTCCTACTTACACACCTAACCTATATGCGGAGGCACAGAAAACATTCAATATTAGGATTTTTTAAAGACATGATTTACATTTGAAACACAATCAGAATAATGTTCTTGTTAAGATGGGACTCGCGCTGTCAGAAGCCAAAGTAGACATTGCATTGGCTACTTTTATTTTTTATTGGCTACTAAAAATTCGATGTGGCTACTAAATTGACTATTCTGTTTTTAAAAATGGGGAAATCTTGAAGACATCATATTTTTACAAGTAACTTTACTCTGAAAGTACACATCTAGTGTAAAAGCATTACACTAATTTACCATATCCAATGAAATGAAACCTAATTTTGATTGGGAACGATTCCATTATAGAGTCTGATTTAGAAAGACAATTCCAGCATGGAGTTGATAATCTGTACTCACCTCCTCACTGACGTAGTCGCCCGATATACGGATTAAGTTGAGGATGACATCCACATACCAAGTATAATCCACCGCATACTTTTCTGCCAAGATGGCAACCTTCAGGACCTGCAGAGATCCAGCAGTTAATTACATTATATAGATGTTTCATGCAAGAGTTCTAATTAAAGTAGTGAAGACTACCAGATGGGAACCGAACAATTTCTCTATAGCTTGTCGTAAATATTCAAAGTACACGCATAAACAATGGGTGCTTTGGTAGAAGTTGCCCAGACAGCAGTATGTTAACTTGAGGATACAATACTGTTAGATCACATGCGGAATCTGGCTACTAGACCTCCAGACGAATCACTGCGAACATGGGTATTGGGGATTCAGACAGCAAGAAAATTGTCCTTGTTTTCCTACTCGGGGTATAGTGCCCCAAGTAAAGCATAGCCAAAAATTTAATGCCATCAATACCAAACCACCTTCTCTGTACGGAACATGGCAAAGGGTTACATTGTACACGGCTGAGCTAACATACCATTTCCTCTCTGATAGAGTAGTCTGCAGACTCGAGGTAGTCAAGCATCTCCCCCACAATCTCCTCGGCATTGGTGCGGTCACACATGGCGTACAGTAGGTCCACTGCACGCTGTCGCACACTCACATCACGCTCCGTCTGTTTGGAAATTAAAATGTCTCATTTCATCATTATCATTAGATTTTTTTTTCATAGAATTTGAGGACTGTTAAATGCTGAAAGAACAGTAATTTTCTAATTTTTCTAAATAAGATTTTTTTTCAAGGTTTCTTAAAATTTCATTAAAACCTTTATGCTTCTTTATATTAGTGAAATTAACACATAATGCTGCTATATATGCCTATCATCTATTGGGCCTACAATCTGTTTTGTAGGGGTCAATCCAATTTCGTAGCAATTACATCTAATCCTCCTTGAAATAATCTAGACAAGAACAGAATGATGTTTTATTAAAGATATCACAATAGTTTGTAAATATTGGCATGATTTTTAGCAGCTCACAATAAAAACTACTGGACAAGTGACACATACTACAGAACACATGACAATACCTTTAGTGCAGTGACAACTGTCTCTTGGTGTTTCTTCACAGCCTCATGAGAGAACTCAGATGTAGCCAGTAGACACATGCTCTCTAGGGCTAGATACCTATAACAATACATGTGGTAGGTTGCCTGAGGTATGTTTCATGTGCGACACATGGAACCATTCTTTCCCGACTACATTTTGATTTTTTTCGTGATTTTGTTTTAATATTTAGCAATGCATTTAAATAGCATAGAATATGAAAATTCTCCACACAAAAAAATGTTAAGAAAGGGGGGTTCATTTTTTTTAAGAAATTGTTTAACTTCAAGCTCCCAAGGTTGTTTTATAAGATGTTTTTTTCACCCTCCATGAGACAGAATTTGGCCGAGACTGGTTCCTGGTGACGTACCTGAGGTTGGTTTCACGGTGCTGGAGGAACTGGCCTAACTGGTTACAGGCTCTGACTAGCAGGTTAGGGTCACTGTCCATGTGGATAATGAGGTTGATAGCTTCAAACAAGACAGCATTCTTGGCGTTGGAATGCTGTACTTTCTTTGACTTGGGTGGCTCCTGGGCCTTGTTCAGGATTGTCTCCAGACACTCGGTCAATCGTGTACGCACCGCTGGGTCCTCTAACAACACCAATAAACAGGTTTTAACAAGGTTTGGTTTGGATAGGTTTTATTTTGTTCAACGTCCTATCAACAGCTTAGGCAATTTAAGGACGTGCCTCCATGTGTGTATGTGTGCCAGAGACAGGGTATGTTGGTGTACTTGCCTCCTTGTGATAGCTCGGATCTGATGCCGACTTTAAAGTGCAATCTCCTGAACATGATGCAAATACTCATTCAAAGCATTTGGAACACTTTTATAAATGTTTCATAAAAGTAAGGAGAAAAATCAAGCCATTAAAATGACAACAAAGATTTTTCTGTTTATAGTAACAGCTATAAACTTGACATTGTTATCCACAACACATTAAACTAAATATATGAGCTTAAGGTAATTTTGTACTGAATACTTGTACATGTATAAAGCTTCATTCCCATCAGAAGACTGTCCTCATGTGGCCCTGCAGGCTGTTGCAAGGACAAACAAACAAATCAGAAGACGAACAAAGTCAGCACAGCCATGGCAACAAATATATATATATAGCTGTTAATAAACCTTGACCATGGATTCATGACCCGTAAATGTCAACTTGTTCAACTTGGGTACTGAATAAGTGTACAAAGTTTATCAAAATTAGAAGAAAATGATACCTGTAAATTGATGAAAAAGACTCCATATATAGTAAGTCATAAGGACAAATGTAACCTCCCTGTGACATTTATTTTCTCCATCCCATTTCATGGCTAAGTAATTAAAATGATCCATTAGGTACGCTAACAAAGAGAGTAAGAAGCAAAGAAACTACCATAAAGTGGTATATGGCACACAAAGTATCTGGCCATCTGATGATATGAATCTCATTTCATATTCAACGGTGTTCCAACAGAATTTGACTCTTAATGCGTTTATTTTTGTAGTTGTTTCACTCAAGGTGTCTGTGGACTGCAGTGGGTTACCTGGGGGAGGGTAGTTCTGTAACAGTCGGAGGAGCTTTACAGACAGCCAGGGGGCGGGAACAAAGTAGTAAGTGTAGTCTTGTAGATCTGTGTAGGATGATGTCACAATCTGAAATAGATCATTTGAATGATTAATATCTCATTTTAATAGAAAACTACACAATATCAAGATGAATCTTCCCAACAGAACTTGACCAAACTTTAGCTGAACAAATTGTGCTAATAAACAGCTGGGTTTTATATTAACTGTATAAACCTACTGATACTTCACGACTAACGGTTTAACCCAAATTCCATTGAATATACAATAAATCCTAATGACACTTTTACTTCAAAGATTATTATTAAATATCATTAAAGTGTACAAAAACTCTTTTGTATCAATTCCATGCCGTCTAGGTCAATCTTTGGTGTCTACTCTTTATCTACAAAGCCCAATAAATCTAACGTACATTCTAATCTCTACTTTTGTGGCTATAGTGGACTTACCCTGCTGAGTCGGGAGACGGCCAGGGAAACACAACCTTTGTATTCATCAGGATTCTTCTTCACCAGGGCTTCAATCAGACTGGCCGCCGAAGTGACCACACCCTGGGATAGCAACAACGATACAACATGTGAAAACCAGTATCATTGTACACAACATTTAACTAATTCATTTATCTATATTTAATCTCATGAAAAGTCCAAAGTAAATAAGGCAAGTCGATGAACATGATCATGGCTGCAAAAAGTCATCTTGTTCAACATCACATGCTAAATATGTAAATGAACTGTGGTCAATAATAAAGCCACAATAACAGGTATACTGACCATGTGTTGGTCATTGAGTAGATGGATGACACGAGATGACCATTCACCAATCTGTATAAACTCTGGTGAAGTTCTCAAAAGCCTCAGAAGAGTCAGGGCAGCACTCTGCTTCACAGCATCAATGGTGTCCCTGCAGAGAAAATACAACATCTCAACAACATTTGTTTATTTCTGAAGAATAAATTGAAAAGCAAGCCATAAATTTGGAAAGTCAATTTTACATAATATTGATGGCAGATTTAGCAATACTTCCTCATGACCACAACAGGCACATTATACAGCAACAGGGTTTGTTGAAAGTTTATGTAAGTTTAGAGCATCTCAGTCTATCAAAGATCATACACAGTGGTCTAATGGTATATTTATCACTATATTTCTGTCTATTTTTTGGATAGCAATATCCATACCATATCTGTGAGGTGTATGTGAAATGCATATGAAATATAGAAAATGTGTCTTTAAAATATGTTTGAAATGTGTCATATGTAAACCAAAAAATATTACTGAATGAAAAGTGTTAAGGAGAATTGAAAAAAAAAAATCCATTTTCTTACTAATCAGGATGAATCAAACTTGCCCAATATCACAGAGTTCGAGTTAGACAGGTGAAAAGTCGCCATACCTACAGATTACATGCAATGTCATAAGCTCCAATGGCTACAAAGTCACATGACCAGCCTTACCCAGAGACCAGCAGCTTAGGGATGTCTGTGCCAAGACCCTCTGCCATCTCCCTACTGCCAATGTTAGCCACACACTGGAGGGCCAAGGTCACGTGGATGGGGTTACGACTCCCCAGGTCATTCTTGATGGACTGAATCACCAGCTTCATCAACTCGTTGTTGGCACTCACCATCACAGAGATGAACAGATAGCCCTGGGAAAACAATTACCCGTCATGTTATCACTAAAATACCATTGAACAACCAAACAACGAAGCATCAGTAGACTTTAGAATGAATTTTATAGCAACCCCTATAAGCCAAGTCTCCTTGCAAATGACTGATTTAGGATGTACTGTAAATCGTTCTATTAGTCCATGTAACTTTTCTGTATGAACTACATGTATGCTTGTAGGTATTGTTTTCAAATATGTATACTTAAATCTGAAATTGTGATCATGCTAATTAGATACTGATTATAATGATTAACATCATTAGTATTCATGGAAATGGTGTCAAAGAAGCCCTAAATTGGGAAATTTCAGATTTATGCAAAAATTCATAAACTGGTATATATTTTTTTCAAATCACTATCTAGAAGAATAAAACACTGACCGGAGATGAACATTTTTTGTTGAGGATACTAGCCTGGGGCTAGAAGACATTAATAATCCACTAGCCCGAAATATTTTTTTACTCCAAATGCTTAGTCAAATAAAAGACAATGATTTGCAACAAAGAGGGCCATTTTGGTGGTTAGTATAGACTTCCAATGCTATTCAAGTTGTTAGCAATGCCTGCTATCACACATGTGCGTCTTGCATTATTAGTACGCGTGAATGACTCCATGTGCTCTGATAGAAACTGTAGTGATATTACCTGGAATTTACAGATTTAAAATATTAATTGGTTACCCCCTAATGATGATAGAATAGAACAGAAGAATTTTGTTAGTTCTGATATCCTACAAAAGAATCACTATTTTCTGCAGGGCGTGTCCCCAAAAATTAAACCTGCAATGGGTCACGTGCACTCAGACAGGTTTTACAATAGCTAATATCCTTTCTGCATCCTTGAACTTTAACTTCAGCATAACTCAAACTTACAATCTGTTTCTCAGTGTACTTGTTGGAGCTGAGTAGGTTGACTGCCTCCATCTGTCCAAAATCAATGTCATGTCCCAGAAGGAAGATAAACAACAGCTTACAAACATACTTCTTCTTCTGGTAGCCATCCAGGGTCTTATCACCTATAGGCCAAACATGACAACAAAATTACAATGTTTTAAATAATCGTTTTATGAATTTTGAATATAATCATTACATTATGTATGCTTGCTTAATCAATTTTATAGCAAATAAATTCTGTGTTCACATCTGAGGGTAGTAGGGACTTCATTCCCTCCCTTGTACACTGTACATGCCTTCTTTTGAATATCTGTGATCCAAATGATTAAAGTGTTCCCTCAAACTTTGAAATTAAGATATACAACCTGTGCAAGCATCTCATATATATGGTCTTGCAGTATTAATCAGATGTAAATGATCTCTTTTATTTTACTCAACATTGATAGTGTCCTCATATAGTGGCAATTCATTAGGAATTTCAAAAAATATAAAATAGAAAGATCAAAGAAAGTTCTCAAAAAAAAAAAGAAAAACAATAATAGACACTTTTTTCAAGTATGTCTGAAACTTATGAAGGGATGGGTTACTTGGACCAGAAAAAAGACAGGGCATTTATCATTAGGTTCAAATCAGCAGGCGACAGCCCAAAACATTTTAAGGTAATAGGATTGTGTCACCANAAAAAAAAATGAAAGACACAATATTTTTACAAAATAATGTCAATAAAAATGATACTGACATATATTAGTATTGCATTAATGTATATCAATTTAATAAATGCTGAAATTGTGTAAAATTAATTCTCTATACACGATATAAAAATTAACATTTTATAATAAAACCATATACACAAAGTAATTGCAGGTAAGAGTTATCGTTCTTGAAAAACTTCACAGTAGTGAAATAGGTAGCCGGTTTCCTGAAGTACAGAAAAATGGACACATGTGACTCATTGATAAAAAAAAACCTGAATTAATGCCTGGTTTGCTTTGAACTACTTTAATATTGAGAGAACACACTGTTCTGTCAATAATAAACATACAATATTCATCAATTTAATATAAAACATTAGAATTTGCGGAAATTGTGATGCTGTCTCCCTACATTGGTTATTCAACTAGGGATGTACTTCCTGTTTCCGTTTATCAATACACTACAATGACCTTAATTACAGTTCTCACCTTTGAACTTTGACCTAATGTTGGCTAATTCTTTATTAATTCTTTTAATCTCTGCTTCCTTGCTTTTGCCTGAAAGCAAAAATTCATACGTAAAATATAACAGCATCATATGACATCAAACAGGTCACAAATAGCAGCTGAAACAGAAATACAGGGACTTGTTTCATAGCCTTACCAATTTTGCAAGTACATATATTCACTTGCATTTGATATATTTATCCTATTTTTCTCCTTTACCAATGATTGCCATGGCTACCTAGAGGGGATATCTCAACATAAATTCATAGTCATACAATATTTTATATGATTCACTCCTTAATTTAAATATTGTTATTTAGAATTAATGTAGATAAGAGGTCGATATAATTTGAGCACTGAGTTATGTACACTACTGCACCGCAGCAGATTAATACCGGAAAACAATTAAGTACCATCGTAGTTGCCATCAACAAATTTCTGGGGAGGCTATATGTATAGCTACTGGATATGTAATAAAGTACATAATGTAATACTACATGTACACTGCCCAGTAAATGTTATTTGGTAGGCTTTTGATAAAGGGAGGTAATTTCATCTGGTAGTCTCCCTTTATCTTTAATTGCCAATTAATTAAATATGGTAATGCAATATATACTTACAGTTCCGGATATCAGATATAAACACTGCCAGACCGCGCATGCCATCTCCCTTGACAGCCGGCATGGTGAAACTCTATAGACACCTGTTAATAAAACATAAGAAATCTTACAAATCATATATTATATGTCCCCTTCAAAGCAATACTAGTATTAGTGGTCTTAAATTAATTCTTTTCTAAACTCAAGAAAAACTTCCCCTAGCAGAGTCAGTAACAAGCAACTAGATAGTTTATCATGTCTTTGACTTTTCTGGAACACAAGCAAGGATATTATCATAAACAATACCCTGGCCATAGCCAAGGTCCTTACGGTGGCCCCATTGTGAAAATGCAATGTCAATATTATTCAAACATAACCATAATCCTCTAACATAAACTCTAGAAAGATGTTCCAAACAAATGATCTACCAGCTGGTCACCAATGATAGACCTAGTTCATTTTTCATTCTCTCAACAAAACGTACAGTAACTGTTCAACTATATATTTTAGACGTTGACACAAAATCCACTGTTTAACTTTTAGTTACCTAAATTTTACAAAAGCCTGTTCCTTTATGAATTGGGAAAATATAGCATTAGTTGTATTAAAATTGGGAATACATTCCTCAGTTCCTGATCATTTTGGGAAAACAAGGCATATTTTAGGTATGGGAAACTGCATGTATTCGACAGTAAAACTTGAGCAAAAAAAAACCACTGAAACCATCTTCCTTAAATGACCATAGCTGTTGATAGGACGTTAAACAATACTAAACCAAACCAAACTAATCTTCCATTTAGTTGGACATGTCAACAAGAAAGGAAAAATGCAACAGTCAGACTGGGATTCGAATCCATGACCATCCGAACTCTAGATAGAAGCTCTAACCATTTTAACTACTTGATTACTGCCAATCTCACTACATTTGTTATAAAGTTTTAAAAATATTATCATCTGTATTCATACTCAGTACCTTCAGAGGTTGACGCTCTTAATAACACTGCATGCTTTCTTAAAATTGGACAACATTTTAATAAATATCACTTTTGTGGCAATATATAATATGGTGTTACATACACATGTACATTAACAGTTACTATTTCAATATTTGCCACACTCTTAATGATAAAGAATATAAAATGATGATTATAATGAAAACTAGATATTCTCAAACATAATAGTAACACAAAAACATTATGTAGTTTATTACATTAACAGTAATAATACTGCCATCAACATTCCTGCATAAATTGACCGGTCACTTTATTATTCACACTTTTAGCATTACACCATGACTAAATATATGTGTATCAATATTGATAACTAACTTAAGGCTTAATCTACATCTTTAACACAAGATCATACGACTTTTCAAACGTTTTCATCTGGTAATGACATCTGCAAAGGCACACCCCACAAAATCTGGCTTGAAACGATTTTAGTGGGAGGGTCACTTTTAATTTAATCAGTGTCCCGGATGCGCTAGAAAGTAAAACAATAATTTAAACATGTTCATCGAGAGCGATTCTCGATAAAACAGCCTAGCACATGTCATACTGAAAGCGCATATTCCAAAACACAAAACAGGAATTAATTTACGTTGAAAAAATACAATTTGGCAGGCATATGAATCATTCAAGCAGTGTCAATGTTGTACACACACCCACCCACTGTCTCCAAAATAAACCGGCCCATATATATTCTGATACCAAGCATACGATATAGAATAAATTTGACGGATGCATCAAACTATCTTAAAACATGAGATTAATCGGTACACCAACCGTTAGTCCACTGTCCTCAAATACTTCCCACGATCACCAAGTTTCCCTGTGATGCGAGCTAGGTAGGTGGATCATCAGTAAAAATGGCCGCCATAAGTCAATGACGATTAAAACGAGGTCAAAGTTTACACCCCTATCTCACCAGCCATGTTATAAGTAATTTTTAAAAAAGAAAAAGGCAGAAAATCAAAATATATTTTTTAAACTATTCAATGTTCATATTTGAACTTTATTTCTTATTTATCATTTACCGCGCACCTGTTACATGACGTCATCACCAAGGTGATCGGAGTAAATATTTCAATATGGAGGCCTACAGATGTTTGTGGTCCATATTGTGACACAAATACATACGCTGTGAACTGCTTGATCACGATATATTGGACGTGGAAGCATACTTCTAATCAAAAGTCACTCGTAAGTATCACTGTCATATCCCATCTTAACACTGAAAAAAAATTACATTTACAAAAGGAGGATGCAGTTATGTCAATATTGCAAGCAGGTGCCCGTTCCGATAAGCCCCCGGACACTTGAATGGTTTAATCGTCATCAATAGCGATGGTTGTGGTCACTGGGCGGAGGCGTGAATAGGCATATGAATTCATATTTAGTCAGATTTCACATTGATTTTTAGAAAGATAGTGGAATGAATAAAACCCATAGTTATATTATGAAATGATAAAATGTGTGGACTAAATCTGCTAATTTAGTAATTAGAAATCGCAGAAAGCAGCACAACTCAATTCAACAGCTCTTGAAAAATCATCAAAGGATCCAACAAACTGAGTGTCGTGATGTCTGTAAACGCTGTCCTCCTCCTTGAATAGAATATGTCAATTATCCTTGATAATCAGACTTAAGAGTGGTGAGTTCAATCTACCTGGCCGGGACTTGTAAAGCAAGATACTGACAATAAATACTGCTCCGCAGGAATGAAATATTATTTCTGCCAATCCCATGAACAACTTTGGATTAACTTTTTTATCATACAAGCTCAGCACAGCAATGAATGACTTGGATGCTATTTTATCATTAATATCTCAACTATAGCGAGAACACTCTAGCAGGTACTTATATAATAATACTCTGATATTAAAGATGTATTGAAGACATCAATCCCACCAAAAAGGATTACCAGAGAGCCTTGGAACTATGTACCCCAAATGACACGATTAGAATTATGTTCCAAACACTTGCATCCATTTTAGATAGGGGCCACAGTGCCTTAGTGGTTACAATATCTGCCTGTCTATGATCACTTGCCCTATACCATTGGGTTGCGGGTTCAAGACCTATGTGAAGCTCTCACCAGGTCATGGCTACATTTTTTTCCTCCTTACATGACCATGGCTGTTAATATGACATAATGCAAAAACAAATTGTACCAAACCATTTGAGATAATACCAGATACATAACCCACAGCAGAGAAATCATGACACGTACACCTCAATATGAGAGGTAAAAATGGAGAGTTTCATTAAAGATCCTGATAAATATAATGTTCTAACCGTCAAAAAGACAGTAACCCTATACTCCACCAATAGGTTCAATACCAAAGTTACAACCATGTTTACCAAGTACAGTATTGAAGTGTTACAAACACCTTGGATTTTAAGTGGGGATTGCATATCAATAACCTCACCAATAGTGCATACATGTACAGTTCCCTTGGTTTCTTCTAGACATTATTTATTTGGCAGTTGAATCCATCCCAGTTTAAAAAGTTATATGGAATTCAATTTTCCCTTAATAATTTCTATAACATTGAAAACAATTATGTATAATTATACATGTTACTCTCAGTTTATTGATGCTTATTATATTAAGACACTTTCGTGTTGACTGCATTGTTCATTGTGACATCATATATGCTGACATACACACTTTAATTTGGGGTTTGCCAATCAGTATTACAGTCCTGCAGTTAAAGTAAAATAGTTTATTTTAATAATAAGCTTTTATAGAATACTACGTGAAAATAACTTGAATTATCATTGATCTTATAGATTTGGGATGCCTCACCGTCACCATGAGCAGGGCGATTCTGGGCGGCCTCGTCTGCCGGCCCAGACCACATCCAACTTGCTATACAGTAAGGCAAACACTGACATGGTCAGTTATGAGGATCTACTCATTGCCCAGTATCTGGAAGAGCTCCGAAAGGCAAAAGGAGAAATGAAGAAAAGCAGAGAGTGAGTTATTTCTATTTTTAAGATACAAAGAATATCTGGATTATTTTTGTTCATATTGTTTATATACATGGAATACCTATCTCGGTTAAATGTTGGATCAATCTACCAAATATGCCCATACATACACTTGTTCTGCATTTTTGCCTGACAATAGTTGAGGGTAAAATTAAGCATAAATCTTGTATTCTGACCCCTTTATTTGGAAAGCCTCTATTATTTTGAGGGTCAAAATCCATTTTAGGAGGTCATTGTAATAACCCCACATGGGGTGATCAGAATCTCTGATATTTTAATGTATCCATACTACCATACAAGTGCATACATGTATGATTGTATTTGGTGCTGTACAGTATCCCAACATCGCCATACGTCCAGAAGTTGCCTCATTCTGACTATGGATACCTGACAAAAAGACGCCCTGCATCAGCGACATCCAGCAGCCGACCACCATCAGGACATGCTTCTTACAAACCAAAGATTGACGCTAAGTTCATTGCCGATCCTAACCTTTGGGACCCTGCTACCCCACGCTCATCTGTGCACAGGAAGGGACGCCCAGAAAGTGCCCCGGTGAGGCAAAGAAGGTATCTGTAAATCTTTTTTATTCATAATATTCTTACTGTTAATGTATAAAGATGCTGAATTTTAGAGGAAGCAAGGCTTTTGACTTTTCATACAGAATGAAATATATTTAATTATTAGTTTGATCCAAATAGTCCTCTTGTGTTAAAGTGCACTTGTTCATATTCTAAAAAGGACAAAGTTTAGTATCCAAGCAAAAACTATAAATTGTATAGAACTGTTACATATTTATATATGTGTACATTTGATCAGTCACACATGAAATTCCTCAGTTTTCTTTTTGAAGTCAATTAAAATATTTTCCTCTTCAGTGGTAGGGTTCGACCGTTGTCTGGGACCTCTAATATTTCCTGGCTGTATGGCCGGCGTGGCTACTCCGCCATGAGACCTATCTCTGCCCTGACTGGTAAGTACAAGAAGTATATATATATATACTGAATCTGTATATCTCTTTAACACATGTACACAATATAAATATCTATTCACACAGTATATTATCTAAACACACACTGCACATTCTTCTGAAAACACAGCAACTATTAATGATCTCTTTATAAAACACCAAATTCATACTTAAATTTACTTAAATGTCACATTTTGAAAAATATATTGTCTAATGTTTAGTCATATAGATTTAATTGTTCTTCCAGGACGGCGTATAAAGTCTCAGTACAAGAAGCAGCCAACCACTATCAGAGTTACAGCATTTAAGAATGGGAGCAGGGAAAACTTCGTCAGAGTGGCAGCACCCACTGTTAAAATTGTAAGATTTTCCTCAATATACAGTATGTGTCCCTCGATATACTGACAAACCTCTTTAATTCCCAAAGTTTGTTCGACAATAGTATCAATTTAGCATGGTTTTACTGCAAAATGGTGGCAGTATAATATAACAAGGTTTTACTGCAAAATGGCGGCAGTATAATATAACAATGTTTTACTGCAAAATGGTGGCAGTATAATATAACAATGTTTTACTGCAAAATGGCGGCAGTATAATATAACAAGGTTTTACCGCAAAATGGTGGCAGTATAATATAACAAGGTTTTACAGCAAAATGGCGGCAGTATGATATAACAAGGTTTTATAGCAAAATGGTGGCAGTATAATATAACAAGGTTTTACAGCAAAATGGCGGCAGTATAATATAACAAGGTTTTATTCTCTTATGTGGTGGACATTTTCAGCAGTCTTTTTCCAATTTATGGAATTGAATTGGTGAGATTTAAAACTTTACAATTACAGTTCCTGGAGATGTGTACAGATAAGCTAGGGCTTCCCTTTGCGGCTCGTCGTATTTTTCTAGAAGATGGGATTGAGGTGACAGATCATCGGGACATTCCAATGGATGGTGAAGTTTTTGTGTCGACTGGTGAAAATTACAAGGACCCATACAAAAACATAAAAAGTAAGAGTCTGCAGCTTCCTTCTCTACCCATACCTCATACCATACTCCATACCATACTACATATCATACTCCATACCATATCATACTACATACCATACTCCATACCATACTACATACCATACTCCATACCATACTATACTACAGTTGTGGGATCGCATAACGTTACACGATGTGTGGTGTGCGCACATGTGTGCACGGTGTGTGAACGATGAAAAATTGGACGATCATTGCTTGCGCACATTTGTGTGGACAATGGAAGAACATTGTGCGATAACAATCGTGATTGGTATAAATTGAGGAATGCCTTAACAATATATACGGTTTCGTGCATGTGTTTAAACTCATAAACCTGATTATTTAATATGTTTCTATATTCTAGCTACATCTATATGCTTATCTTTCTGTCTATACTTTCTTAAATTTAGAAATGGTGTTTTCAGTATTTTTTAAACAACCTAAATCGACTCATGTAAAATTAAAACACGGTCTCGGCAATACAGGTAAACATAGCCACTTTGTACCTGTACATGGACCGTAGTTATCCCCTGCCCGGGGCACTTACGTAACTCGCCAAGGTGTGAAAACCAGTTGATGGGGAGCTATAGACCAAAACGATTGCAAATAACAAATACTACACATACGGTATCACATATCAGCTCTATGTGTCAGGCACCGGCCAGGTAAAACTCTGGTCACTCATCAAATTGTTATTTACCTGTTCTGTTACATATGAGCTAAACCCATTCTTGACAGTCTAACGGTCACTTTGACACTGTGTAACACGCATTGTAAAATTGTACATAATCTTAATTATTCTGATGAGAAATTACAGAAATATATACAGTGTACATTATTGCATACGAGCCTTCCGTATTTGTTTCATTCCGTAGTATTGATCAACAAATTGTACCAAATCGCACAGTTGTGCGAGAAAAGCACACAACGGGTAGAACGATTGTTAAATCGCACAGTTGTGCGGACGATGTGCGAACGGTGTGTGAACGATGTATGCAAGGTGTGGGCACGGTATTTTTGGTGCGTTGTGTGGTCACACAACTGTACATACTCCATGCCATAATATACTACATACCATACCATACTACATACCATACTCCATACCATACTACATACTCCATACCATACCATACTACATACCATACTCCATACCATACACCATACTACATACCATACTACATACCATACTACATACCATACTCCTTACCATACTACATACCATACCATACTACATACTCCATACCATACTACATACTCCATACCATTCTACATACTCCATATCATACCATACTACATACCTACTCCATACCATAATCCATACCATACTACATACCTACTCCATACCATACTACATACCATACTCCTTACCATACTACATACCATAACATACTACATACCATACTCCATACCATACTACATACTACATACCATACTCCATACCATACTACATACCATACTCCATACCATACTCCATACCATACTCCATACCATACTACATACCATACTCCATACTACATACTACATACCATACTCCATACTACATACTACATACCATACTACATACCATACCATACTACATACCATACTACATACCATACTACATACCATACTACATACTACATACCATACTGCATACTACATACTATACTCAGGTATTATCATGTTCTGATATCTATTGGCATTCAAAACTTTAAAGTAGTCAGAATTTCCTGGTGATTTATTGGCTTTCCCTTAATCACATGGCTCTGCTATTAATTAACCCTAGTATTTTAAACATATAGCAGAAATTAAAATTACTTTTTAACTAAGTGTTGTTGGAGCCATCAAAGAAATAAGAGTTGGGCATTAAACAAAAAATAGCTTTGGTCTTTATAAATGTTTGTAGTGTATAAAGGTAGCTGTATCAGATGCTCATGATTGAGGCAACTAATGAGCCAACCATTGGTCATCAAGAATATTTCTAGTCACCATGGCAACTGAAATAGGCATCACTGTAAGCCCTGCATTTATATTCTGATCCATGCTACATCATGACAATTTTCTCTGTTGTCAAGGAAACATGATAATCAGTCAAGGAGCCAAGTGGACATTGTCCGGAGTCCTTATTCCAGAGGAAGGTCACATCAGGACCAAGACATCCAAGATGTCCAAACGCATGAAGTAAGAAAGATATTGTGTGTCAGTAAAGAAACCATTTCTACATAGCCTGAAGTGTTGTCGAATTCAATATTCCTGAAACAGAGTAAAATCATAATAGTGTCCTATAGAAAAATATCCAGCCAGCTTTTCATGTAATAGGAGTATACTTCTTTAACTGAATGTACATGTTACAGGGCCTAACTGTATTATACATGTTACAGGGCCTAGCTGTATAATACATGTTACAGGGCCTAACTGTATTATACATGTTACAGGGCCTAGCTGTATAATACATGTTACAGGGCCTAACTATATTATAAATGTTACAGGGCCCTGACAGAGAAGCGGCGTATCAGAATAATTGTGTACAGGAATGGCATGTCTACAGAACCTGTGGAGGTGGTTGCTGACCTCAACAAACTGGACGATGTATGTACTGAAACTTGTCAAGGATTTGTGCATTCATTTGTCAATTGCAAATTTAATATTTGAAGATATATAGGCTCTTCATTTATATTGGCCTAAATGTATGTTTAAAGCTAATACTATAAGGAGGAGGGCGGAAAATGCTTATCATAAAGTTCTCACAGTAAAAAAGAGGGGATGTTGATAGGGGAAAAGGAGCTTAACACTGAATAGTACAGAAACAAAAATGTCAAGTGTTTGGTGTTGCTACCATATAGGTTTATTTATATTTCATGTATGTTTCTCCTACAATTTATTTTTCTTCAAATTATGTCGCCTTCTCAAGGATTTCAATTTACAAGATTGACTTTCCTCTTGAATCTTCAGGGAAATTGATATCTTATGAAATATGTATGGTTCACAGTTTTACTATTTTTTACACTAGAAAAATTGCTTGCTGAGATGTATAAGAAATAAATCTCTTACATTGAACGATTCTTCTTATAGTTTATGGTGGCGTGTACCGGAAAGCTGGACCTCAGAAGCCATGCTAAGATAGTGTATGACTGGGAAGGCAATGAGGTGACACACCTGACACAAAGTAAGTAGTCCTTAAGGGACCTCCTGTGTTAAGAAATCACCCGATGTAGTTATACATTTTATGTTAACTGACCCTGTATTAAGAGACCTCAGTCAACAAAAGACAACTAAATGGACTTCCCAGTGGTGGCTGTGGGTACATATTTGACTTTGTTTTACACTCTGATGAATGTCTATCTATTGATTGTCCCTAGCTCCTGTGCTCGATGACTGTCTCCAGCCCGGAGGTACAGCCATATTGGGGCCTGTCTGGGTCTCTATTGGAGAGTCCTTCAGCGCCACAGCAACACTCCATTACATCCGCAGCATTAAACAGGTGCTCACAGACCGACTCAAAGATGCTCAACGATATAAGACTGAGGTATGAGTCCCAACAGGAATGCATATTTGCAACCCCACTCCC